CATCGGGGTGCACCGAGGCGCGCGCCCTGCAGCGCCCGCGCGGTCCAGCTCCGCCGCCGGCTTGGGGCGAATGACCCGGTGAATGCGGAGGGGACCCGGTGGCACCGCGGAGCTCAGCCTTTGAAGCTGTCCCGTGGGCCGGCGCCGTGCCAGAGGCCGCTGTGGGTCTCCCCGAGCCTCTCCCGAGTGCTCGCCCCGGTGCAGGCAGGTCCTAGCTGCAGAGCCCCTTCGGGTTCAGCTTCCGACACCCCCTCTCCCTTTACGCTTTAGGCGCCTGGTGAGCCCAGGCTGGGGCGCGGGGAGAGTGCACGCGGTTGGCGTGGAAGGAAGGCTGGCAGGAAGGCCCAGTGGCCTTGGCCTCCTAGGGGCTGTGCACGGGTGTCTTTGGAACCAGACTCCCCCCGGGTGCCCCCCGGTGACCCTCCCTCTGCACCTGTAGGGGGAAGAGACTTTGGCTTTGAATGTGGACAGAAACAGGTTCTGACCCCAGGGAGAGAGAATGCAGGCCTGTAGCAGCGGTTACTTTTCCCAGTGCTGGTAACTGCCTGTCCTCTAACCCCTCTCCTTCCTCCCCCCTCCCCTCAGCCCCCCATCTCATATTAGGACCAGGCTCTCCAAAGGGACTCGAACCCAATGCTACTTAAAACCCGGAACCAGCTGATGTCAGACCGTAGTTGCTCAACTATAAGTCAAACCTAAGTGCTTAGAAATGTCCTTCACAAACCACTTGGATCTGCAACAGTTTGTTTTCTAAAAAGCTTAGAGCCAGAACGGCTGATTGTCTGAGTCCTATCAGTGGGGACTCAGAAAGTGGACCCGTTGAACACCTAGTGCATGTCAGGCATCCCACTGGGCGCAGGTGTAACGGAGAGGTGGGTCTCCTGGGTGGCGGTGGGCAGAGCAGGTCACACACCTGAGGACGCTGTAGCAGGTGCCAGGTGCTGGGGGTGCCCGGGAAGGCACCACTGAGATGTTTCAGCGTAGGTGTCGTCTCCGGTGGGTCCTGGTGGGCTGCGTGCTGAGGAGAGTCGGCATCTGTGTGCCTGGGAGATGTCGGGTGGTTGTGTATGGAGCAGAGTGAGCCGAGGCGCGTCTGTGAGGCAGGGATTGGCAGCGTGGGGACTGGACAGGCCAGCGCCTCGGGCGTCCTCAGAGTCCACATGAGCCCTGTAAGCGTCGGCAGTGATGCCGCTGGGAGAGTCCGGGCGGCCGTGAGTTGAAGAGCGAGTGGGAAGCGAGGATGTGGAGACCAAAAGGCTGCCTGTAGTTTTAAGAAACCAGGCGGTGAAAGGAAGCAGAGGAGGGCCAGGGCATGGGTCTGTGCTGGGCATGTGCGAGTATGTGGGACACGGGTGACTTGGTGGTTTGTAGGCAGCGGGGAGAGGATGACATCTCTGGACTCAGAAAGGGCAGTAGGATCCAGAGCAGACTGGAGGGTGATAAAGAAACAGACTGAGACAGGTTGGGCGCTTGAAGGTCCGGGGCCTAAAGAAAGTGAGCTGGTCTGTGGCTCGTGTGTCTGTGGTACTTTCGTTCATTAAACAAATATTGGCATCTGCTCCAGTTCTGTTGGTGGTCAGTAAAATATCCTACAGAGGTTGTCCCACTTGTGGGCAAACCCAGCTGTGTGGGCACCAAATTCACCCCCTTGTGGGTGGTGGCCCTGGAGCTGCACCTGCCTCCCTGGTCCGAGGTCTCTGATCCCCTCCTGCACTCCCGGAGCCCGGCCCTCTCTCACCTGCTGAGGACCCCCAGCAGCGGGACCTGGGTCTCTAACGAGATCTTGCTGGATGTCTCTAGATCTTGCTTAGGCACCTGCAGCAGGGCGGGGCCTAAAGGAAACTTCCTTCTTGCCCCGCCCCTGCTCCGCCCTGTGCTCTGGCCTCCGGGTTGGTCCCCGTGGTTCCCAGCACTTACTTTATTCTTTCCTCCTGCACCTACACCCCTTGCAGTCACTGAAGTCACCACCTCCTGCTAGGTCTCTCACCCATGTCTTCTTCCTACCCCTGGCGACGTTCCTTCAGGTCACATACCTGTCCCATCACTTGGTTATTGCAGCCGCTCCTCCCAGGTCGCCTGGCCCAGTCGTGCAGCTGTCCCAGTCCAGTCTCTGACACTGACAGTCACCTTTCTGCAAAACCTGATCGTGACTTACCTGCTTAAGATCCTCCTGTCTTCCCGGGACACCCTGTATTTTATTTCAGAATAAAGTTGCGTAGCACAGAAGAAAGCGCGTGCAGAGCGATCCTTGCTCACCAGCCCCGTGTGAGCGCGGCCCTCCCCACGGCGCAGCATGTTTTTGCCTCGCTAATTCCCTTAAATTCACAAGGATCTGCCCAGGTCCAGTGAGTCCTCAATGTCCTCGATAGGCTCTCGGACCTACAGCGAAAGGACATGCCATGGGACCAGGTTTAGCACAGGCCAGAGTTCAGGTCCTGTGGTGTCCAGTCGGGAACCTGCTGTGTCCCTCCCGGTCCTTTCCCACTGGCGGCGAACACCCTGCGCGGGGCTGTATCCTGGGTGTCCGTCGGTGCTGCCCTCAGCTCAGGGACCCTGTGTGGCACCTGGCTCACGGTACCTCCCTACTCGGTCTGTGAACCAAGAGTTGCTGCTTTTGATTGTCCCCAAATGTTTCCGTGACTACGACTCAGTAAGAGGTGTGTGGGGATGTGGTGCGCTTTTCTTCAGAGTGTCCGTCGTTCACACTAGTCTGTAACCCGAGAGCGAAACACAGCGTTTTCCTTTTTAATGTGCGTGGTTTCTCTTAAGGTGATCCAGCTCCTCAAGGCTGGGAAGGCTAAGGAAGTGTCCTACAACGCACTGGCCTCACACATCATCTCGGAGGACGGGGACAACCCGGAGGTCGGGGAGGCCCGCGAGGTCTTTGACTTACCTGTCGTGAAGGTCGGTAGCAGGTGTTTTGTGCCACCCCCTGAAATGGCACTTGTATGTGGGTGATACCCCTGATTTATAACGTACATGTACGGAAGCTGGTATGTTTACATTTATGTCTAACTTGCCCAAACCAAGGCGGGAAGGAGGAGAAGGCAGGACTGAGCAATGCGCGCCCTTCAGCGAGAAGCTCTCAGCGACACCCAGGCTGGAGTCCCTGTGACCAACCACCCCAGACACAGACTGAGTCATGAGGGTCCTTTCCGAGAGTTGGCTTCCTTCCGGGGCCCCCCTGCAGCCCGTGAACCCCCTTCACAGCTGTCCCTCTCCGCTGTCCCCCATTGCCCCCTAGCCCTGTGATACGGCATTGCCCTGGCTCCGAGAACCCTCGGGACACTGACAGGGATGCCCAGAAGCACTGGGCAGCCGAGAGGCTCTGAGCAGCTCTAGGGCTGCTGCTGGGAATGGCTCGGCCGCCTGAGGGCGTCTGAGTGCAGGGGTCAAAGCCAGGGTCACCGCACAAGTTCCTCATTCCCGGGAACGCGACTAGAGTCAGACGACGTGACCGTGCTCTGGACGGGGTTTCTTCCCGCTCATTCCTTACCCGGCACGTTGGCCCAGCATCTGGCAAAATGATCGCATGTCCGTGCAGTAATTATCCCGAGGAGAGCCGGTCTCTCTTTTATAAAGTGTTGGATGTTCCTACACTGTTTGCAGAGGGTAAACTTATGCTGAAAAGTTGGTGTCGCCTACAAAAGGGACGAGGGCACTTGGCTGTCCTGAGGCAGCAGCAGAAGCTGTGAGGGTCGTTAGCGCAGACGCCGGTCGCCCGAGAGCGGCTGCGTGTCCGTTCCTCGCGTCGTAGCCGGGGCCTCACCATCCCTGCCACAGAGTGGGGTCTCGGTAACTGTCTGCCGAGGGAACTGAAGCGTGAGTGTGTGCGCTTCAGCTGGCGGAAGTTTCTGGAAGCCGCTGGCTAAACGGGCATCGCTGGGATTTTATATACAGATTTCGTGAAGCAGAGTCATCAGGATGGTGATTCATATAATTCTCAAAGTTAAATATAAAAGCGTAGGGTAAGATGATTTTTAAAAAACATTGGTTACCCCAAAATGTGGTGATTAACCCAGGATTTTATAGTTAGTTTGCGTTTTAGAATTCATAAAGAATCACCTCCTATGGTTTACTGACCTTGTACCTGTCCGGCCTCACGGAAGAGACTGAGCTGAGGCCCGACTGGACTCAGGATCAGGAAGGACTTAGGAGGGGGCTGGTCCACGCTGGCCGGGGAGGGCAAGGTGGCCCTCAGTTGGGAGGTCAGAGTCTCTAGCTGGCCCGGTGATATGTGTGTAAACGTGGAGTTAAGTTTTTATTTTATTTATTTTTTAAAATATATCTTTATTGATTTCAGAGAGANCAAGGTGGCCCTCAGTTGGGAGGTCAGAGTCTCTAGCTGGCCTGGTGATATGTGTGTAAATGTGGAGTTAAGTTTTTATTTTATTTATTTTTAAAAATATATCTTTATTGATTTCAGAGAGAGAAAAGGAGAGGGAGAGAGAGAGACAGAAACATCAATGATGAGAGAGTCATTGATCAAACCCACAACCTGGGCATGTGCCCTGACCGGGAATCGAACCCCGATCGCCTGGATCCCAGGTCGACGCTCAGCCGCTGAGCCACGCCCAGCTGGGCTGGAGTTAAGTTTTTAAAAAAATACATATTTATTGACTTTAGAGAGAGAGGAAGGGAGAAGGAAGGAGAGAGAGAAACATCGATTGGTTGCCCCCACAATGCACCCACCCACCAGGACGGAGCCTGCAGCCCGGGCACGTGCCCTGACGGGGAATCGAACCTGTGACCTTTTGGTGTAGGGGGTGATGCTGAACCAACTGAGCCACACCGGCCAGGGCTGGAATTACATTTTTGTGCGTAATTTTGGGCTTTTCTCTTCGGGCGTTCACAGCCAGCCTTTGGCCCTGAGGCCTGGGTGCCGCGTGGTCCTTTACGGCCCAGCCTTTAGTCTCCAGAGGCAGCACTGGCAGTGTGATGTCGCTCTGATGGTGAGTTGACCCTCCGTGACCGAGCCCCCTTCTCTCTGCAGCCGTCCTGGGTGGTCCTGTCGGTGCAGTGCGGAGCCCTCCTGCCGTATCCTTTTTGGGGAAGGAAGGGGGAGGAGAATTGAGGCCCGAAGCCACAGTTCCTGGGCGGGAAGTGGGTTCAGGGCGGGAACTGTGTTGTGTGCACCCTGTCCCTGCCGTCTCCCGTCCTGCGTCCTGATCCGTGTCCTGCGGCCGTGGCTGTCTCGGCTCCGGGCCCTGCTCCTCCCAACCTCAGTTTACGAGATGTCTAGTTAGATGGATAGTTTTAAAGTCTCCTTGAGCCAAATGGTGAATTGTTTGAAGACTAGACAGGGACAGGGCCACGAGAACGTGTCAGCCCGATAGCATCGTTGTCACTCTGACTACGCTGGTGGAGGTTTCCTAGTTCAGTACAGCAGAGCCCCTGCCTGGGCTGGGCGCTGCCCCAGAGGGTGGACAAGACCTCGAGCCTGCCCCTCAGCCCCCGGGTGTGACTGGCACGCGGGTCCCCCTGAGCTGGGCCAGCTGTCAGGCCCGAGGCCCCGGCTCATCCTCTAGGCCTCTGGCTCCTGCGTCACCTGAAAGTGCGCGGCTCCCTTCCTCAGAGAGTCACTTGGGCAGAGCTGGATTTGGAGACTTAGGGGCGCCTGAGGTCATGCTGTTGAACTTGTAGGCCCGGGCGGGAGGTGACGCCACGCAGCCCACTCTGTTCTGCGCTGGGCCAGGACGATCTTGGGGATGCGCTTGTTACTATCGAATCAACGCGGATGGAGGGCGTCTTTCTGCATTAAGGGTTCACAGGGACCTCAGTGGACAGGAAGTTCTTGGATGACCTGCAGAGCTTGAGCAAGTCCAGCTTAGAAATCCTGGATGTCTCATCCACATTCTAGAGGGTTAAAAGGCTTGGGGTTTTGGATTTGTTTGGGGGAGTTTGTTTTCTTTATGAACATAGGTAAGGAAGACTGGATGTGGGGGTCCTTCTGCAGATGAGGTCAGTGCTGTGTGGATCAGGCAGGGCCCTTCGGAAGGCCTTGTCTTCCAGCACTCACTGGCCCGTCCTGGAGAGGCTGCGGGATCAGAGAGGGACTCGGGGCCACGCCCCCCGGCCTTCCCTTGTTCCTGCTTTGTCAAGTACTTGGAAGCTGGGGGTCCCTGGGCCCAGGCAGGAGCGTGGCAATAGGCCTGGAGGCACGAGGTTGGGGTCTGCAGGGCTCCCTGCAGGCAGGCTCCCCCTGTGTGTTACCTCCTCTCTCCCGGTCACCTGCACGCTGGCCACCTTGGGTCCATCTCTTCTGTTAGTGGATGGGAGGGGGGTCTGTTATTGAAATACAGGAGGCGCTGATCTCACCGCATTGGAATCTTAATAACTCCTCCAGAGTAAGCGGCTTTTCTCCCGAGTCCTGTCAGACCTTTTTTGGAGTCACCGCCTGCTTGTCTCAGGTAAGAAGCCGCATGCAGTGCCCCTCGTGTTAGGCCGTGTGGCAGGACTGGGACCTGTTCATACATGAAGCGTAGAGAAGCCTTTTGCCGAGCCGCACGTTCAGTACAACCGTGTAACACACAGTCACGTGGATATTCACACTTTGTTTTAACATGTTTTGCTGGGTGACATCGTCTTTCTAATCTAAAGAGTTGCCAAGATCTAAAACTTGAAAATGAAAAGATAGTAAATTTGAAATTATAAGGTGACAAGGGAAAGTCAGAAATAAAGAGAACTTTCTTTTATTTAAATATGTTTATATTGGTTTTAGAGAGAGGAAGGGAGATGGAGAGAGAAACATCAATGATGAGAGTCATGGATCGGCCACCTCCTGCTCGCCCCCTGCTGGGGACCCAGCCTGTAACCCGGGCCTGTGCCCTGACTGGGAATTGAACCCTGACCTCCTGGTTCATAGGTCGACTCTCAACTGCTTAGCTACGCCCGGCCGGGCGTCACGATGTGTTTTAATGATAAAGTGGACAGACAGACAAGCCCAGACCAACTGTGTGACGGGCGCCCGGTTTCTACTCGCCAGGTGTCCCCTGAAGACCGGAGCGCCCTGTGGGCCCTGCTCACCTTCTACGGCGGCGCCTGCCAGCTGAGCCTCAACAAGAAGTGCACCCACCTGGTCGTCCCGGAGCCCAAGGGGGTAAGCGCCTCCTGTGCGTGTCCTTTATGTCACCTGTCGTGTCCGGGAGTCGCGTCCGTCTTTGGCTGCTTTTACATTAATCACTCGATTCCACCCGTCCCCGCTGGTTAGGGTACCTGATGTCACTTACACCGAGCGTTCCTCCCACAGAGGACGGGAGGGGATTGTAAACTTTATTTGGAGCCGGGCGGGACGTCCAAGTACAGAGAAAATTGGGTCTATTTCACGGAGAAAATAGGAAAGTTTTTTGCACCTGCAGAGGTTCCTTCAAGTCCAGTAGAACTTCAGTTCATTTTCATTTGTGAAAAGATACGTTTTTAGCCACAGTTCTTAAAGGCCTCGTCCGAATATAATCACGAGCCCGCGTTTGGTGACTTCTTGTGTAATCGAGACGGAGAAGCCAGAGGGCTCCCGTCCCCGAACACTGGTGGCCTGGGGGTTGGCTCCCCCAGGTGGGCCCGGCCACTGCAGGTCAGCAGCGCCTCCCCGGGGCCTTGGGGAAATGCGGACAGCGCCCGACCGCCCTTGCAACCCGCGCACAGCAAGGACGTGGGAACCCAGCAGGTCCCTTCCTGCGTGGAGAACGGTCCCTGGGGTTCCCAGCTCGGCTCTTGTATCTGTAACATCTTTCATGAAAGTTAATTTTAAACAAAATCTTTGATGAGCCGACTGTCGCAGGCGTGAGTTCCTGGGGTCACTGGGACGGGGCTCACCTGGGCCTGTCCTCCGAGGAGAGGAGTGCATGGGAGGGGCCCTGACGGAGCCGCGGGAGCCGGGGCTGGGCTGGGCTGACCGCTCTGCGGCTGTGCCCTCTCCTAGGAGAAGTACTCCTGCGCCCTGCGGCGGGCGAGCATCAGAATCGTGACCCCCGACTGGGTGCTGGACTGCGTGGCGGAGAAAAGCAGAAAGGAGGAAGCGCCCTATCACCCCCGCCTGATCGTCTACGAGGAGGAGGAGGCGGGGGAGGAACAGGAGCGCGACTCCCCCGAGGGCAGCACCGACGACAAGTCGAGCCCGGCCAGCTCGCGGGAGGGGTCCCCGTCGGGGGACCAGCAGTTCTCGCCCAAGTCGAACCCCGAGAAGGCCAAGGGAGAGCTGATGTTCGACGATTCCTCAGACTCATCCCCCGAGAAACAGGAGAGGAACCTGAACTGGACGCCCGCGGAAGTCCCCCAGGTGGCGGCGGCGAAGCGCAGGCTGCCCGCGGGCAAGGAGCCCGGCCTCATCAACCTGTGTGCCAACGTGCCGCCTGTGCCCGGGGGCATCCTGCCCCCCGATGGCCGCGGGGGCCTGATGGCCGCGGGGCCCAGCCTCCAGAGCTCAGAGCGGCCGGAGATGCTGGCGGCCTGGAGCCCCGCCGTGCGGACGCTGAGGAACATCACCAACAGCGCGGACATCCAGCAGATGGGCCGGCCCTCCAACGTGGCGCACGTGAGTCTGCCTCTAAATTTAGTTTCTTTCCTGACAGTTTACTTGCAGTGTGGTTTTGTATTGGTTGCAGCCACGTGGTCAGCCAGCCACGGGCTTCACACAGTGATCCCCCGACACGTCCAGTAACCGTCCGACACCGTCCGTAGTTAGGACAGTGTTGCTGACACTCCCTGTGCTGGACTGTTCATCCCGGGTGCGCGAATTCACTGTGTTGTAAGAAAAGAAAGCGAGACCCGAACTCAGGGGAGGGAGCGAGGGCTGGGAAGACGCCCAGGCCCTGCCGGAGGGTCCGCGTGGCCCACGTGAGGAGGACCCCAGGCTCGCGTTGGGGGCCAGGTGCACGCGTCCTGTTAGAAATTGCGGGACGACAGCTGTGATGATGGTGGTTTGGTCTCTATTGGTCAGACCTGCGTAAAACATGTCCTCTCCTCCCTCCCGCGGGCCGAGCCCCGAGTAGACAGTACATGGCTCTCTGGGGCCTGGGGGGGCGGGCTCCATAGTCCGGTGGGAGTGAGGCAGGAGGGGGAGTCAGGGATTTGAGGAGAGCAGAGGGTTTTGGAACAGCTGATAGAGACTTTGGAGGACGGTGTTGCCCCCCTGGCTAGAGCCCAGCTTGGGTTGGTGACCATGGCGACCACGCCCAGGACACGGCCGGGATGCACACCTGGGATGCACACCTGGGATGCACACCTGGGATCCCGGCCCGGTGGGGACGGAAGCAGGTGTGTGCTGGGAGCTCAGCGAGTTTGAGTAGTGATTTTTGGGGGTGTGGTGGATTTGCTGACGGGTCACACTCTGCCTGACACATGTAGTTGGGTCCAAATAGTTTTTAAAAATGTTACTTATTTGCCCAGATCATGAGATTCTTCCTGAAGAGAGGGTTTCTGGCCTGAGTGGGGGATGTGGGGGGGCGAGGGGGGGACTTAGACGTCCTCATGGCTGAGCCCCTGCTGCCCCTTTGGAACCAGCAGCTCCCTCAGTGAGGTCCCCGCACCCCGTCTGTCGTCCGTCCCTCTGTCCCTCACCACCTGTGCCCAGGGAGTGGGTGGCCGAGGGCTGAGGAGCAGGGCCCGCCGTCCAGACGGCATCTGAGCTGGAGGTGAAGGGGAGGAGACGGGACCCCTGTTTGGTGCTTGGGGCCGTGGGACAGTCGCACAGCGGTCCCAGCACAGGGTCTTCCGGGAGAGCGGAGCCATGGTCAGAGGCAGCCTGGGGCAGGGGACCAGGCCGCCGCCTGGGTGATGGGTCACTGGGATGGGGCAAGGTGGGAGGGGGGCTGGTCTGGAGAGGCGCCCTGCCCGTCCCGGGGGACCGGTCCCCACAGGCAGCGGTGTGCACCTCGAGGGGCGTCCTCGGGGCTGGTGCGAGGACCCAGTGTCCTGTGTGGAGCCCCTGGTGCTCAGAAGTGCGATTTCCACCCTTCGCGTCGTGGAGGGATTGCGGGTGGAGGCCGTCCGTGTAAAGTCAAACGGAAACGTATCTTCAAATTCACGGGATCTTGGTTTGAACCCCAAGTTCTCTGAATTTGTATTTGGATGTGGAGATGAAGTGATGTCATTTGAAATGAAGTGGGTGACTTCAGCAGAGAGTTGGGCACATCTCTGCCCTTAGGGGGTGAGCTCGCCCGCGGGCCGCCTGCCCTGAGGGGACGTGGGAGGCGCGCCCAGCACTGCGCAGGTGTGACGCCGGAAGCCGGCTGCGGAGAGGCTTTCTGAGGCTCTGGGCGATGTCAGAGCTTTAGGACGCTGCTGCTGCGTGTAAGGCAGAGTTCCTGACACGTTACAGAACAAGACAGGTTCAGTGTAAAACTGGACCGGGAGCTGGGGAAACAGCTAACCATCAAAATCCCGTTTAAACTGCAGATTTCTAACGGTTAGGAGCCACGTGGCATGTATCATAACGCCTTCGGTGTTAAGTGACTTAAATAGAGACTGGCAGCTACCAGGGGAAGTTGTGACGGTCGTGGACATCGCTGTTTGCAGGGTGGCAGGTCAGGGTGTAGCCATGAAGAGTCTTTCCTGCAGTTCCTCAGGACTGACGCGCCCTCCGCCCGAGGCCGGCAAGGGTCGGACGCCCTGTGAGTGCTGCGTGTTCTCAGAGGGGTCCCTCCGCCGCCGGCCCGCGGGGCGCT